ATGGCAGTTCTCAGGATTGATTTGGGATTAAGATATCCAAAATAGGAATACACACACACAGACAGACACGTAGACAGACACGTAGACAGTACAGCAGCATGACAGGACTAAGAAGACGAGTTCACCTCAGATCCCTCTGCAGCAAGATGTCTCTTGCCTCACACGCACCACGGCCTGATGTTCTACAGAAGAAACTGCGGTTAGCATTTCTCAATGTTTTCCTCCAATTACCGAGGCCGTACACACACTCTCTTTGTCTCTCCGACATGCCAAAAACTGACAGAGGCTGATGGCCCAGGATGAATCAGTGCTCGGCTGCCAGCTTGATCAGTAATGTCTCTGCCTATGGGCAAAGCTGCATGAAATGGCAGGGAGGTTTGGCTCTGGCCGGCTGCTGACTTGCCTCATCAGTTTGTGCTGCAGGCGCAGGAACGCAGTGACAAAGCAAGAAGCTCCTTGTTCTTCTTTCTGAACGTTGTTGCTCAATGTTATGTCTGTGAATGATAGGTTTCCTTGATGTTCTTTTGCTATATTTGGACCACACACAGTGGTCTGTAAAGTTTAAAGGAATGGTTCAGCATTACGGGGCACACGCATATCAGCTTTTGCTGGAAACTCAATGAGAAGGTCAATACCTCTCTCCAATCGGTACGCTATGAAGCTAGCAGACAGTTAGCTTAGCTTAGCAGCTAGCCTGGCTCTGTCCAAAGGTAACACAATCCACCTACCAGCACTTGTAAAGCTCACTAATTAACACATTGTATTAAATTTGTTTATCTTGTTACCTTTGTCCATAGCCACGCTACCTGTCTCCCCTTGTTTCCACTCTTTGTGCAAAGCTAAGCTAACAGGCTAACGGGCTAGCTTTATATTTAGCATACAAACATGGCAGTGGTATCAATCTTCTGATTGATGGGACTCTTGAAAAGAGAGCGAATAAGTGTATTTCCCAAAATGTCAAACTGTTCTTTATAAAGTTACAGAATATTTTAAAATAAAAATTGGAGCCGGGGTTGACCCGCAGGAGTTGTATTGTCCATCTTTCCTTTTGGCAGATATAAACGCTGGCTGGCTCATTTACAAATGAGGTGAATTTCTCATTCATTGTACCATATGAGGACAGACCGACCCAAAATATATTGATACCTTACATTTCTGATTTCAAAAAAAGGAAACCATTTAAGTTAATAATTAAAATGGTTAAAGGAATAGTTTGACGTTTTGGGAATAGCCTACTGAGAGTTATCAGAGCTAGAGGTATAAAAACAAGTTTATGTAAGGATTTGTAAGGAATAACGCCATCATCAAGGGGCATATATAGGACGAACCTTAGTTACGACTTGGCAACGGGAGATACATCGTGTAACGTGCTAACCAGTGGGCTTTAGAGGTACTGGTAGGTGGATTTTGTTACCTTTGAACAAGGCTAGCTGTTTAAGTCTTTATGCTAAGCTAACAGGCTGCTAGCTGTAGCTCCATATTTAACAGAATGACATCATAGTGTTATCAATCTCTCAATCTCACTAATTATCACGTTATATGTTGTTTGTTTAATACTTGAAAACATTAAAGTGTAACAGGGGTCTTGGACTATTTACTGGGCACGAGCAGTGACTACCTGAAGTTGAAGTCCTTGCTGAAGCAAGGGTAGTTGTTATCCCTTTTCCAATTGTAATGCTAAGTTAAACTAACTGGCTGCCGGATGTAGATTTACATTGAACAGATATGATAGTGGACTTTTCTCATCTAACTCACTGCAAGAAAGCAAATTTGGCTTTAGTGTTGTGCATTAATCCTCCGTTGTGTAATATGTTATTTATATTTTGATTTATTTTGTATTTTTTGGTTCTCATGTGAATTTGTGACACAAAAAAAAAATTAAACCAATGAGTGTACTGCAAATGCACACTACAGGGTACAATAAGCTCATTATTGGATGCTTAATAGTCTAATGTCTAAGCTCGTGGAACTGTTGCGTTTGACACTGGACTGAAGCTGGTGACTGAGGACCACAAACTTGCTCTTTAAATGGATCTCATATCTTATGTAAATTCAGTGGTGTGTGGTTTCGTTCTCCAAACTACACAGGAATGTAGTTGAAGAAAGTTTCTAGTAGCTGTTACTTTTATTGAAGCTCGAATCCTCAAATAACCTCTCGCCTGAGGACGTGCCATTGGATGACTTTGTGCTTTTCAGGGTATACTATTATTTTATTCCACTGAAAGCCCTGTGTGTTGATGTTTTCCTGAGTGAAAAATAATAAGCCTATCATTTAGTACGCATCTGTAGCCCGGAGATGTATCCGTCTTCACTGGGTTTGACAGGAGTTTATTAATTCCGCATGAAACATGTCATTTGTACATGACAGGTTCAGACTGTGTGAGGGCCGTGTGAGGTGAGCCGACTTCTTCCTGGGGGAAGTGACAGGATATATTTTGACTTTATTTATGTCAGCAATATGAACTCCGGGGTGGATCTAAAGAAATATTCATGGTGTGGCAAGAGGGTGGCGTGGAGACTTTAAGGGGTCTCAGAAATATATGCTGATTTAATCGCAAGTAATCCCATATATTAATATTTGCTTGTAAAAGCTCCCAAATGAAGATATTTGAACTCAAAAACATTACATAGTTGTGGTACATTAGTAAATCATGGCATTAGGAATCAATAAATTGTTTTTTCAAATACATGTCTTTTTTTATTGAACTTCTTACGAGATCAATAAATACATTTCTGTTTTTTAACACATTCCTTTTTAAATGTATCTAAATGAATGTGTTAAATTTGTCAAACTAGGGTGTCAGCTGGGGTGGCCAGGCATTTTTAGGGGTGCCACCCCACTAGATCCGCCCCTGTTGAGCTCTTAAAATTTACATCTAAAAGTCTGTGTGTGTCACAGAGGTAATTTTGCAGGCAGATTGTAGTGAAAGTGAACAGATAAGAGAAGTAGAAGATTGTAGGGTTTGCAATCAGTTCATAAATCACTGGAAAGCCCCAGACACACAGTAAATAGCTGTTAAAATAAGCTGATAGTTAATCATACATGCAGAATGTTGTTTGTCATTGGAGAAAGAGAGCAAATATAATCCTTCTTACAGGATTGAGATCTGCAGCTCTGGAAGCTCAGCAAGCTCGAGATAAACAGGTTTTATTTATTTGCTTGTCATGCGCGCACACACACACACACACACACATAAACAAAAAATCACCATGTCTGCATCAGGAACAAACAATCTCCCGCACCAACACTTTGACACAGCGGGAGTCCACTGTTATTGCACTAGGAGGCGGTCTAATAGCTCCCCTGTCCTCAGCTGAACTGTGGAGGAAACCAGTCGAAGTAGTTTACACAGGAAAGGAATGAGCGGCGCAAAATATAATAACACCTTCATTCATTAAAAGCTCTGCCAATGCACACGCCCACTGTGTGGAGCACATCACCTGATCTTCAAAGTATTTTTTTTTTACTTGTATTGTCCTCATCTCACCTCTGCTGGCCTGAGTCAGATTTGAAAAGGGGTGTAATCAAGAGTTGTGTTTGCTATTTTAAGTCCTTGGTATGAAGCCAGACTCATAAATAAATTCTTGAGTGTTAGGTGATAACCTGTTATAATATTACAATTAAGCTTTTCTTGTCAATATAATGTCCTACTGCCTGTATCGGCAGCAGTTTTCATGGAATTGGTGCGTCTGTACATTTCCATAAATCCACACAAAGTAGTTGTATGACACAACTAATGCTGTGTACAAAGACATGCTTTGTAGGACGTAGAGCATGTTTAAGTCTACGGCTGAATGCTGGTGGAAGAATGGAAACTGTTGTGCAGCAGCAGTCACGTATCACTGGTCACATGTACTGTAGGTACAGCTGAGACAGGAGGAAAAACTCTTAATATGACATTTACTATATATGATCATACCAGGTAATAAACATGTCTCTGTAGGTCTTTGAATCGGCAGAATTGAACTTACTGTGAGGGTAATTCAAACCTTTTGCACAGCAATTTGCATAAAGGAAAAAAAAATCAATCATAGTGAAACTCTGTAGCAATTTGTGAAAGGCCAAGGCAAATGTTACAATTATGTTAACATTTTTTTAAAAATGTTACAAATGTTCAGTCTATTGTTATTAATATACAATTATCTATTCAGTATAATCTAATCAGTAAGACTTTGAAGAAGCTCTGAACATCAGTTCTTTAAAAAAGCAGCTCTCATATTTATCAGTGGACTGTCTGAGGTAATGCACCAAAGTGAGGAGAATTTTTATTTATTTATTTGAACATATTTCCTATTATCATTTAAACCTGTATTTATTTATTTTTATTATTGCCAATTCTACAGATGATAATCTTCCCACTCCTCATTTTGTTAGATGTGTTGAATGTGAAAGTTCATATATATATACATATGAATTTAATCTACATGCATCCAACAATATGTGTATTTTCCAGGATGTGATTCTGTGTAATAAAAGTGGTCAAATTTAAACAGAATTTCAGCACAGAATTTGGTTTTAAAAAAGGTGCAAAAACAAATATGTTGAAATGATGAGAATTAAATATATTAACAATCTCAATTATTATTTCATTTAATTCCTTCTGTTATTCTATTCTTTCATCAGGTAAGTAAACATATACTGATTTACAGTTACATATAAAAAAAGTTTCTACATATGAATAATACACCATCATACATATATTTAAAGTGTAGTTAATGTGTGTACACGTGCAGTATCATTTCTAATTATTGCAACTAAAACGGCTGAATTAAACATGGTCGGTTTGTATTAACTGAACATGTGGTTTGAGTTCGCACTGTTGTTAAATAATATTGTTTTTTAAAGGAACAAATTGCCTTTGAGTCTTTTCTCTCCGTGCGTCTTTGCGCACAGTGCGCTCTGGCGCCGCTGGAGCCCGCAAAGGGTTAAACGGGGTTACCAGCAATCCTTTTAACAGGCAGGTGCCCCGCCAGTCCCAGCCCAAAGCACACCACTGACTTCTGAAAAAGGTTCTTCCAGCATCTCAGGAGCACCTCGTAACTGTCATGTTAGTCGAAACTTGGCGAGTGATGTCGGTGGTGATGGCTGCAGACCGGCAGTATAAATAGAGCATCATCGCCGCAGAAGTGAGACACCAAACTGGATCAATCAGCTGACACACAGCGTCCGGACTCGCAGACTCACACACGTGTGATGCGCTTTTGAGTTTTTGTCGTCGTTTCACCTATTTTTATATTCAGAGAAGTGGAGTTTGCTCCAAAGAAAACTTTCAAACCTGATCAAAGAAAACTTTTTAAAAAAACAAAAAAAATTCACCACTTGTTGAGCTGTGTCCCGCTCTGGAGATGTGGTGGATGCTGTTTCCACGGTGGATCTGGTTCCTGGCGTGTGTGTCAGTGTGGATGGAGCACCAGGTCGGAGTTTTGCCCAATATCACTTATTCACACGCGGGGATCTGCCCCAATGACATGAACCCCAACCTGTGGGTGGATGCCATGAGCACCTGTACCCGAGAGTGTGAATCTGATCAGGTAAAGTCTTTAATTAACCTTTTAGAATTAAATATCCTGAACTGCTTGACAGTTTTTACATGTGAACTTATTTTGCAAGAAGTTTCTGTATTCTAAAAATTATATTTGACATGTTTTTATCCACTTGCATCTCTCCATCTTATCTAAATTTAATTTAATCTCTCTTCTGTCTATTGTATCATTGTTGACTTTATGAAAATACCTTCCAGATGCATGCAGCCTCCTGAATCTGTAACGTCTCTCTTCTCCTCTTACAGGAGTGTGAGTCCTTTGAGAAGTGTTGCCAAAATGTGTGTGGGAATCGGAGTTGTGTGGCAGCCCGTTACGTCGACGGGAAGAAAGGCCCTATGGGAATGCCCAAGGAAGCCACCTGTGCCAGTTTCATGTGCACCCAGCAGGGGTCTGAGTGTGACATCTGGGACGGCCAGCCTGTGTGTAAGTGCCGAGACCGCTGCGAGAGGGAGCCGCACTTCACCTGCGCCTCTGACGGCATGACCTACTACAACAAGTGCTACATGGACGCAGAGGCGTGCTCCAAGGGCATCACCCTATCTGTCGTCACCTGCCGCTTCCATCTCACCTGGCCCAACACCAGCCCTTCACTACCCCAGGCGACCACCCTTCGTCCTACCACTGCTCCTCTTCAGGCGACTATCCCGCCTCCCACCGAGCCTCAGCCGCCCGTCGTGGTCAACAGCCCCGCTTACCAGACTGTAAATGTGGGTGACACCGCTAGCTTCCTGTGTGACGTGACGGGTCGTCCCCGTCCTGAGATCACCTGGGAGAAGCAACTGCCAGAGGGGGTGGAGAGGGTAGTCATGAGGCCTAATCATGTGCGAGGGAATATGGTGGTCACTAACATTGGTCAGCTGGTCATCTACAACGCCCAGCCGCATGATTCAGGCATCTACACCTGCGCGGCTCAGAACCCGTCTGGCTCAGTGCAGGCCAACCACCCACTCACTGTGCTGCCCACAGAGCCACCCAAGACCCCTGAGCCCAAGAATGTGACCCGCTGCCTGCCTGAAGAGTGTCTGAAACCCCCTGATAGCACAGAGGATTGTGGGAGTGAGCTGGAGAAAGTCAGCTGGTACTATGAACCCAAGACCAACAACTGCTTCTCCTTCACCCACTGCCAGAGCAACAACAGCCAGCAGCCCAGGAAGGCATTTGAGACATACGAGGAGTGTATGCAGTGCTGCGGTCCAGAGCTGTCAGGCCCTTGTGGGCTCCCCAGCCTGCAGGGCCCCTGTAAGGCCTACGAGCCACGCTGGGCTTACAGCGCAACTCTGCAGCAGTGTCAGTCCTTTATCTACGGAGGATGTGAGGGCAACGACAACAACTTTGAATCTAAAGAAGCCTGCGAGGAGATGTGCCCCTACCCGAAAAACCACCACTGCAAGGCCTGCAAGCCGAGAGGCAAGATGGTGACGAGCTTCTGCCGGAGCGACTTTGTCATCCTGGGTCGCATGACGGAGCTCACAGAGGAGAAGGACTCGGGCCACGCCCTTGTGACTGTGGAAGAGATCCTCAAGGACGAGAAGATGGGTTTACGCTTCTTTGGCAAGGAGCCTCTTGAGGTCACCTTCCTCAACATGGACTGGAACTGCCCGTGCCCGAACATCACGGGCGCCGCCGCAGAGGGACAGGTCATCATTATGGGCAACGCCAACGATGGCATGGCCGTCCTTCAGCCAGAGAGCTATGTGGGCGCTTCCAGCCCTCGTCGTATACGGAAGCTGAGAGAGGTCATCTCTAAGAACACGTGTGACATTCTTAAAGCGATCACCAACAGCCCTCAGTAGGGTTAGGGTTAGGGTTAGGGATGTAGCATTAAAACCTGACTCCACTGTAGCAGGCTGTTATCTTTTGAACATTATTTGCAGTAATGTTTTGAATTAGGACCATTCTTACTACATTTAATGGGTTTCTTTCTGTTTTTGAATGTTTTCAGAAGTTCCTCATGAGGAACCCTGTCATATGTCTTTTTTTGTGGTCTGTTCGCAGCGGAGCTTTTCTGTTATGGTGTGGCCATTGGTGTTGATTGAAATACCATGAGACATCCATCATGATCCTCTTGTTACCATAATCCCCCAGACTCTCCCCTCATGCCCTCTCTTGCCTCCACCAGAAATGGAGATTGCAGACTTGCACTGAAGCACAAAACAGACACGATTGAGTCGTTATGTACATAATTTAACTGTCACCAAACTTTTGATTCTTTTACTTACCAGCTGTATTTCTACCTGGCACTTTTGATATGAGCACACTCTTAGTTCATACATTTACCCTATATTTCTGTTTTCATGTTGTATAAATACATCCATAAACCTGTGCATACAGTACAACAAGGTAGATTTGGTTCATCCAAATGAATGAGTTGTAATATATTTTATTAACCACCACATTTTCTCACAATAAGTCATCTATTTTTTTATCTACTTGCTCTTACTTTTTTGGCTATTTATTATCATGTAAGCTTTTCTTTTGTCTAGCTTTTGTACTTTACATTCTGTCTGAAACTAAGTGGCATTTTGTATAATTTTATAGTAATGTGCGAAGAAAATAAAGATTTGGGATTTTTCTTCATTCTCCTTTTGTTGATCTTTTTTCATATGTAATATTGAATTATATTTTATTTTAGGGGCAGACTGTTTTATCTCTCAAAGCCTTTAGAACAGGGTACACAATGACACAATGACACAGTGACCAATCTAAGTTAAATTTTGTTGGCTTGGGTGCCTCTGTACCTATTGGACAGAAAGCTCCCTGTACCTGTGTGGCTAATCTGACAGGCTGTGATAAAAGAGATATGGGAATAGAATATCCCCAGCCCACCCTGCCCCCCTACCCCATTCCCCAAACAGAACCCATCCATTCTAAAGACCCCTGTGGCATTGTAAAAACTTTGTTTTGCCTCCATGATCCAGTCTAATTGGGTAAGGAGCTCAAGCTGTAAACCTCAGATCCACTCCCATACAAGAGTTATGTGTTTCATGCCGTGCCAGCAGGCGTCTCTGGGTTACTAGGAACAGGCCTTGGTGGGTTTCGACGAGGGTGTTCTACTTCCCAGATGAGATTCTGTTTCTCCCATCCAGAGCGGTGAGGGAGGCGGGAGATCAGCCCATGTACGGTGTTCCTTTACTGGCAAAACCACCAGGGAGCTCAGACCTGCACTTCAGCAGCTGTTGAGGCTCTGGAGCAGAGAAATATTAGATCTGCAGCACCTTGGATCACATCAGAAAGCAATATAAACAACATATCAACAACACAAACCTACCAAACGTTCTTTTCATTGCCAGCTATTTTATCACTTTTCGATACACACTAAGAACACAGTTTATGTAGTTTTATCTAGAGTTTACACACTGATCGTTCCTGCGCACATCATGAGGTCAGTGGGTTGAACTGGTTCTGTAACACAGCTAATTTCTAAGCTAATAATGTTAAAGTCTTATGTACTGCTGGCTTTGGTGAATAAATTATTGCAGCTTTTACAGAATATGAATCCTGAACACTAAAAATAAACTAGTATGATCCTGTGTGAGTACTGTCCAAAATACTGCTTTAAAAATAGGAGTTTGACCAAATAAAATACAATTTGAAGAAATATCTTAAATAGGTGAAATAATGACTAATAAGTGAATAATAGGGGAAGACATAGGCATTAGGGTTATTCAGAGATTGAGTGGTGCCCAATATTGAGATTGGGACACCCCCAAGATAATATCTAAAAGGTCAAACAGGCATGCATTTAGACATGCAAACAAGTAATTCTTTGGTTTATATATGTGTATGTTTATGTATGGCACATCTGTAGATTCCATGCTATACTGGCATATGCTTGCCTGCATGCATGTATATATTTATGTCCAAAAATCTAAATACTTTTTGTAAGTCAATATTATGGGTTACCATAAGTGAAATGAGTCTAAATTTGAAGTAACTAAATTAAATTAGTATTTAATTCAATATAATTTGGATTTACAATCTAATAATTCTGATTTACCATGAATACTTATTTTTTTTCTTTTCTTCGCAGAAATGGGCTTCTATAGCAGTGCATACATTATGTTTATTTTTGGTATTTCCTGGGGTAGAGAGGTAAGTGAGATAGTTTGGAGATTGACATGGGAAGATGGTGGTTGAGTGGGATGGTTTAGAGGAGAATTTATTTGTATTTTTATTTACAAGACGATATAATACAGTCTATCTTTACATGTACATGATACATTAAAGTTAACTGCCTACCTGAGTACACGATCTGAATGACAAAAAGTACTTTTGTGATGTACTTAACACTTTCAACTCTTAAGGCCTCTATAAAACCCTCAGAGTGACTGTATCTAATATTGTTGGTTGAACTGAGCAAAACTCACACAGAGACCATGACAGGTGATCAGAGGTCAGACTACAACATTTTCGTAAATTGTTATTTTGTGGGCATTTCATTAAATAGGGACTCCAGGAAATGAGAGAGAGATGCAACAAAGATCTGCAGCTGGACTCAAACCGGGGACATTGTGGTTCTTGGTTTAAAGGCAAAGCTACAGATAGGCCCCACTTTGCAACATTTGAAGCGATCAGCCAAAAAGGTTTGGAACCACTGGATTGGGGTCTCTCTAAACCACAGACGCATACTTATGGTTTCTTAATGGTTGTTAGTGGTACATATGTGCACACTATTGTCCCCCTAATGTATCTTGGATTGAGTCCAATTGGTGAATTTTATAGCATTCATAGGTGCAACCTACAGTTCAGCTGAGGGAACTAGCTCAATTATCAGACTGAAACTCCTCAAAACAACCTCAAATGCCATGAATTATTTTTCTTCTCCTCTGATGTTCCAGCCTATGTCTATTAAAAAAAACACCTTTAACTACTTCAATGCGTAGTCTGGGGTCTACAAAAGTACAATTTATTATCAATTAAAATTCGGCATATTCAAAACATGTGTGATCATTATTTTTGAAGCACTTTTATGCTTTTCTAATTTGAGTTGGGCCAAGTAAAGAGGTACGCGAGTTATGCTTTGATATGCTGTGCAGAATTTTCGCTCACATATTTTTTTTCCTCTCCTTCCTCTCAGGCTTTGTTGATTTGATGGGGTCATTGCGTTCACAAGCTCAGTTCACATAAGGCAGGAATAGTCGGTGTGGTCCATGCAAGGCTCAGATGTAGACCTGCACCAGGTAGAAAGGACACACAGGCAGCAGACAGCAGGACAGTAGAGCCACCTCGACTCTGTCTGTATTTCTATGTGGTGCCTCCAGGTTGTGTATCCAGAGGAGATCGGACAGTAGCACCTGTTGAACACATCAGCTAGCCGGGTGGTTTAAGACCTTTGATTCATGACCTCCATCTGTTATGGCCATATCATTTGGAACGTCTATTGAAAAGATACAGTAGCCACTCACACGCATTGACTGGAGATGAGCAGGATCCCATGGCAGTATATCATCCTGGGGCAGCAGCAGCTGAAAGGTTTGATGCTGGTAGGTGGTAGCTGCTCTGATGCTGGGAGGTTGAGATCCTCTGCTCAGGATGGAGAAAGGATTGAGAAATGCTGTCACATCCCTGAATCACACTCAGAGGTGGCCTTGAGGAAGGCACTAAACCCCTAAATGTTGTTTTGACAATAGACCTTTTTCATAGCAGCCATTTATTTGGACATGAAATAGTCAGGTAAACATAGGTGTTACCAATGATACTAATTAAGGCTCTGTTCCATTTAGTGTAGCAGGGCCTTTCCAGTGAGCCAACAAGCAGAATAGCAGCACACTTACTCTGTTTGATTAGAATGGAACAGAATCTTAATTTAGTACCATTGGTAACATCTGTGTTTACCCTACTATTGCATCTCAAAATGGTTGCTGTGAAAAAGAACACACTGATGCGACTTCACAATAAAGTGTTTAGTCATGTGCATGTTACTGACTGATTCAGGGTCAGCACGTAATGAAAGTTGACAAAGCATTAATTGTAGCTATATATTGTAGCTGTATCTATCATTTGAACTTGATGCCTTTTGGTTGTTTTTATAAATGTGCAAAAGTAGAAATGTATAAATTGGGTACATTCTTTCTCATTTAAACACATATAGAATATAAAACATATAGAATATAAAACTTGTATTTACCTTAACAAACCTGATCATGATGGTCATTAGTGCAGAGGAGTGTATTTGTCCCTGTTCCTGCAGTGCAGGTAACGTGGCTCTGTATTTGTAGAGGTTGTGTGAGCCACAGCATCCTCTGGTGTTGACTGAAGCTTGTATACATAAAGTTTGGGCTGCTTCAAGTATTCAACACAACGAGATAGATTCATTGATAGCAGAGTGGATATATTATAATACTATAGAATGCCCTCAGTGTCATTTAAAGTCTACTAAAGTAGTGTTAACTGGTGTTCAAATTAGTAGATATCCGATCAAGGCTGCTGCTACCTGCAAATTTCCTAAATGCCCAGAATCCTGCTCTAACTGTGCATACAGGAAATATTTGATTAAAATTTGTTTTATTTTATTTGCTATTTTATTATCTATATGGCAGTAATGTCATAAATACACTGCAGAAACAGCCATTCTAGAAACAAGAAAGATATTCTTAAAGATGATCCAATTTTCTTCTGCAATCTGCCAAAGAGATGAGCCAATTTTGCTTGGCTACAATTCTTAAAACTAGCATAAAACCTAGCCACTGAAAGACTGTAATGGGCCTTAAAACTAGAAAAAATGCCAAAAATTAAAACAGGTTGTGCTTATTTCAAACAAGGAACACTCTGGTTATAATTATTCAAGACAAAGCTTATTGAAATAAATATTGTGGTCACTTTATTTAACTGAATTTAAGAATCCATATCATAATATAAGATTTGGTAGCTGTTCATTTTGCAAAAGAAGTTTTGAAATCCACTGTCCACTCCCTGCTCAGCTCCAAATTGCAGACAGACACAGCTAGTAACTGGTGAACCTAGTGGAGCGTTTACCTGCTAAAGGTCTGGTGGCAAAAACCCGACTTCAGAAGCACAAGTGTTGCTCTGTGTCTGCTGGATGTGTAATCAATTGTCTGCCAACACAACACTGGCAATGTCAGGGATGCCCACTGATTGGCATAGATGATTTTACCTTCACCTTATTGCAAGTCAAATTTCTATATAAGTTGAACAAGAAAGCCTCAGTTTGATTCATGGCTGACTGGGAGTTTCAGAGTGCTTCACAGTGCATGCATGGATACTCCCCTGCCTATTGTGACCCCTTATAAGAGCAAGCGGGCAAAAAAAGACTTCATAAACTTACTATTTGTCAGCTTCCAGGGATCATGTGATCAACGGACGCAGTAAACCTTCACCTCCACTAGAGTGCAGCACAAGCTCACATAACCTGTCTAAGATCCATACTGAGGTATAGGACTGTGTGCATACAACATCACTTCACTTCATTCTATCTATTAATGAATTTTCCCACAGACTCTGTGTAGCACTGAGACAACTTCTGAGCCCAATGGTCCGTTGTCAATCCGCAATGCAGGAACACGTTCAGGGAAAAGTAGTTCTGGTGAGTTTTACTGTG